TGCTGATGACTTATCTACAGTGACAGACCTCCCTCGTCTCTGTCCATAGCATCATGACTACCTTCAGCCTTCTTTTATTCTGCGGGGACAGGCAAAGAAGAGCGAGAAATGAACTCAAGCACTTTACAGAGTGGTCTTTTGTTCTTCCCCCAGAGGTCTTCTCTGACCTCCCACGGGAGGTGGACTCTACAGGAACAAGAGCGACCAAATCCCACCGAAGGTGTTTAGCTCTTCTTGCTGCTGGCGCCGTACTTCCATGATCCTAACTAATCTCAGAGAAAAGCTAGCAGTGCTCACAAAATCTGCCAAACAATAAAGATCAAAGTCAGTAAAGCCCATAGCTTGTGATGAGTGCCAACCCACCTAAGAGAAACCACCACAGGATAATAATAGCAATAAGCAAAGGATACAAGGTTTATTGATCAAATCGGATATTGCACGTCTTTCATTACTACGGCATCCTCAGAATCGCATCTCCAAAACCTCTCGGGTAGGAACTGTTATCTCTATTTTACAGATATGGAACCAGGACAAAGAAAAACCATTCCAGACAGTTTCCTTAGGGCAGGCTCTGCTCCTTTCTATGGATGCTTCGCTCTCCATAGACACATAGCAAGCACGGGTACAAAACATTCACATGGTTAAAATTTTCAGTTAAATTCCTCTCTAAAGTCTACTTATTAGCCCTCAAACCAAGTATGTTCTTTGCTGTTTTTTACTGCTGAGCAATCAACTTCAGGACGTGACAAGGATCTCACATGACTCAAAGTGTACCAAAAAGCACACTGACCACATCTTCTCCAACAGAACTGGGCTAGAAGAGATGAGTCTTCCTTTACTTTTGTTTTCCCACCATGCATTTTCCTATTAGAATTTTTAGAATTTGATGGTAAACATGAAAAATCAAAAATCTTAAACTACAACTTGAGGACAAACTGTGACAAAGCACAGAAACAGCCATTGTTCTCGAGAACCCACAGTCTGGGATCCTGGCATCACCAAGCATGGCGTTAAAGGCATGGCAGAGGAAAAGAAAAACTGTGTTAAAACTGGTCAGATGAACTGAAAGTGGGTGACATTAAAAGAATGCCTTTATCTTTGAATTCATCTTTAATTTTTCTTTAGTTTGAACCAACACATATAACCTAGAGCAGAAGTTCCACTGAAAGATTTGCCCTGTGGAGCACAACAGAGTAATACACCACTTTGGTGAGACAGAAAGTCCTACTCGCAGAAGCAGAAATTCTTCTGACAGCCCAGAGAATGGGAATGTACCCAGCTACCAATGCCCACGGACTTATCTGCTTACATACCCACGCACCATATACGAAGAGAAACAAATGAGTTATTATATAAATAAAAGTGTTTCATTAAATACCTTTCCCTGTTTACAAATGATAGAAGCATCTAAAATAAATATTACAAAATTACTGAAAAGAACTGATTCTTCCGACAATTGAATAAATGCTATGCTACTTACAGAAATGATGCTGAAGTCAATGTGAACACACGTACTTCCCTCCCACAGAAAAAATAATCAAAGCATTACATAGTATCTGCTTTGTCCATTCATCTCCAAATTGTCATTTGCTAGGATTTGAATAAAGTAAGTAGAAATCTAAACAAGAACAGATTAAAGAAAAATCTCCAGTAAATACCTGTTATACTCCTGCTTATTGTAACATTTTCAAGTTATGTCTCTCATCTCTTTCTGAATATGTGAACTGCTGCATCTAACAGCACTAAAATTGCATAGAACCAGAGTTATTTGTCCACCAGTAAAATATTGTGAAATAATAGCAATCCAAGCAATGCATCCACCAGCCTTTGGAAGTCAGTGGGAATCAACCCACTGGGTCCACCGGGGACTGGCTCAGGCCCTGAAGAACTGCAGCTGCTGGGAAGTTTTCATCCACATCCTGGGCAACATTCCGCAAGACCCAAACTCAACTGTCCCTTCCTCTAACATGAAACTCACAATTATCTCCCTGCAGAAGAAAACAACAGCATCTACTTAAAAGCTTTGAAATGGGGACCAGGAGAAATGATGCAGAGCTCACTGGATATACAGAGGAGTTTCAATGACTGAGAAAGTCTTGAAATAAAGTCCTCCAGGGGAAAATGGGGGACACATCACAGCGGTTATACAGAGCTATGTCAAGAGTACTTCTGAATATTTGTTCTTCCAGTATCCCCCAGTGAATTGAGCTTCTGAGGATTAAAAAAAAAGAAAACAAAGCAAAGCTAAAAATTACTTTTATTAGCTGAAAACACATGAAACAGAGCTCCTTCTGGGCTCATAATGCTCCCCAGGATTGAGATGAGAAATGAGAAAGTCTTGGCACTGTGGACAGGACGACCAGCTTGCCCTGGCCATTACTTTGTGAGTTTGCTGCTTGTAACTGCTGGAGTGGATTTACCTCCAGAGCCTTCCCAGTGAATGCTTTGCTTTGTCAGGACCACCTTCCCCACACGTATTTGTACGTGAACTGAATGACCTGAAGAAGCCTTCATCATCCACCTCTCCATCATGCACACATCATCGCAATCGACCCCAAACAGGATGCTGTAATAACCCGGTTGGGCTCTGCACAGACAGATGGAAAAGATGATGTGCTCTGACAAAAAGAGAATATAAACTAAATGGCTAAGATGGAGGATCCAAGTGGCCAGAAGACAAAATCTTTTCTAATACGCATAGCAAATTGGTGACAGAAAAAGGGAAAGAAGCCACTTCCCCTCTTCCTTTTTCATGAAGACCATTGGTCCACTGTTTGTGTAGCAGTTCTTGTTTGCAGATTCACACGTGACTCTGGGAATCAGCTCTTACCGAGTTTATTTTCATGTTTCCTCTCTGTCATTCAAGATCATCAGGCCTGCAACACCACATGGGCCAACATTCAGTCCAAGCTATCCGAAAACATTGCACATTATCACCTTTCTCACCCATCTCTATTGAATTAGTCTTAGTCAACCATTGCTATAAGCCATGTTGGTGCCACCCTCCCAAAAGCTGTCCCAACCCAGTGTCCCAAGAGCAACGGGCTGGCGAATATCACAGCAGGTTTTCACAACCCTGGCTTTCCTTAATTTACAACCGTACCGAGCAAACTTTTCTTGTGTTTTCTGTGCTTGCAATGGATAGCAAAGACATGACCCAGCACAGTTGTGGTAGCCAAGATGTACCACATCCAGCCTCCGTGCGTACACCTGATAAACTGCAGCAACTGAAAATCCCTGCAATGGTTTTGTGCTGCTGCTCTCTGCATTTTCCCCAGCATCCACCCTTGTTCTCTCGCACTGGTCATGCTGTGAGGGCCCAGGACATGGTACCCCCAGCTCTGTCAGCCCTGACAATGACCTGTGCCCTGGTGGCATGTCCATTTACAGGACAGACCTGGGTCCATGTCCACATATCCTACGTTCTGCCCTTCCACGTCTTTCAGCTTCTACCTTTTCATGATGTTTACCTTCTTTAGATCACCTTTTCTGTGCAGCTAAAATTAAACACCTATAATGACAATGGCTTGTTGTAGGAGATCTGAAAGAAAAGCTGTATGTCATCAGGAGTAGCCCTAGTCGTGATAACCACAAAAGCCATTATCAGAATAACCACGATCCTAGTAATGATGACGTAAGTCGTTATGAAATTTCTTGTGTCAGCAATTAAAATTCTTGTGTCAGCCAGGGCTCCCCAGTGCTCACAGCTCTGAATTAAGGGAGCTCGTGCAGGCTGGTCCAGCCTGTTCGTACTGGAGCCAGTCCTCCCTACAACAATCCACGTGCTTTAAAACTCCCATCAGTAGGAGACAAATCCCCTGTGATCCTTTTATGCTCTATAGGGGAAGACAGACCTCTCCAGAGGATGGCCTAAGACCCAAGCCATTTTCTGCAATCTCTAGAGACGGAGCCAAAGACACATCTGCTCCCGCCGTAGATACATCGCTGGAGGTGGGATGAAACCAGCCCTAATGCAGGTGAACCCACAACCAGAAGCTCGAGCGAGAAGGCCCCAGCTTGCCTGCAGGCTTGACTCTCAGGAGGCTCTTGGTGACACTAATCCATGTGACTGCTGGCTGGGACAGAAGCATGCTTTGATAAAAAGCTGTGCCGGCCCACCAGTAAATAGCTCTGATGAAAGCGCTGCAGATATCACAACATGTAATCAAATGCATAAATAATTTGTTATACAACAGACCTTGGAAAAAACAAATCAGTTGATTATTAGTAATAACTATGTATATTGAAGCATCTCATCCCTGGAGGCCCCAAAAGAGGTCAGTTGTGATGAGCACAGAACGCTGTTAAAAAGCAAGTCTGACATAATATCTGGGCATCTGAAAGTGGAATAAATGAGGGCTGCACAAGTCACTTTATAAAAAAGTGAAAATAAGTACCAACAATATAGCATACACACGAAAGTCATTTAGTGAACATCTTTACCAGATATACAGCATGGAGAATGGCTCATCTTATCCCATAAACCATATCAAACCAGACTTTTCATTTTCCAGTAATAAACCCTGAGCATTTCCAAAATAATTGATTTCCTCTTATGTTTTCCTTCCAGTCCCTGATGCTGATGGTTCACATTCAGAGTCAGAGCAGACTATGCAGATCTGCATGCAGATCAGCTAAGATGGAACAGCTTTCTCTCTTTTTTTTCTTCTTGTTTTACACAGTATCAACAAATGAGATTAGTATCAGATCTGCATTTACAGAAATATGTCCCCCTATCTCATGTGCTTGTTCCTGTGTCAAGGAATTTAAAGCTAAGCATTGGGAAAAGAATGATTGCCTCACACTATTTTTTGATATAAATGGTACTCCTATGTCAATTTTACTTCTTTATTTACATTAAAATCATGTATTCAGGGAACTATAGAGACAAAAACCACAGCATCAAAGATGTAACAACCACAAGACTCTTGCTTCAGGGGAGAACTCGGTCAACTTTATCTCATCAAAACCACACGGAAGGAAAATAAGGGTCTACTTACACTGTACAATGAGCTGTACCAAAGCTTCTCTGGGTTTCACATTAAACCCGTTGTACTGGCTGGTCTGGCACCTGTAGGTTCCCGTCATCTCCCTGGACACGTTCACTATCCTCAGGATCCCATCGTAGCTCTCTGTCTGCATCGCCCCGTCCGGCATCGCCACCTCCTTGTCTGCTCGGGACCAGAGAATGATGGGCTTGGGCTTCCCTGTCACCTGGCACTGCAGCTCGATCGTGTCCCCTTCCCGGGTGACCAGGGGTGACTTTTCTTGAGGAACAGTCAGATTGGGTGGGACTTCAAAGGAGAAAAAGAGACGGTTCAACAATCAGTATTACAGAGACATCAGATGGCGTTCTTGCTTGTACAGTCCCATTATATATGAAGAATTAATTTATATGCAGACAGCGATGCACAGTGACTACGTATAATGGAAGACTGTGCAATGCAACTGTATTTATGAGACAATGTGCTCAGCTGCTTGAAGTGGTTAAAACAAGATCTAACAGCCCCAGCTATGACACTTACTTGCCTCCCCGTGCGTCTCTGACATGCCAGTACGCCATATCAGTGTACATCGGCTCGTTCGGACCACTGGTCGCTGCTAGCACTTTATCAGTGCAAGTTATGGCTTTCCTTTTTGGCACTAAAACCCCTGTTTTATAACAGACTGGCTGCTGATTTTATCCAGCTCGTAATGGCTGTGCAATGAGGAAGTGTCATGCCAATTCGGAAATCAGCTCAGAATTCAAGCCCTGAAACCGAAAGGCAGTTGGCGTCTATCACAGCAGGTTTATCGAAGCGGTATTTTTTTTTTTTTTTTTTCACAGAGAGCTGCATTAACAAATCTGGAAGGAATATGTGAACAACTGTTTCCTGCAGGAGTGAGACGGACCCTTGGAGCAGGAATACCCGGCACCACTGGTGATACCCAAGGACCCATCCTTCCTCCTCTCTGCAGACTTGCAAGAGTGAGACTTTCTAACTGCCCCCAGCGCCGCTCCAAACGGTGAGCCGGGGCTTTGAACGTCCGCTTCTTGGCAGCGAGGAGGAGAGTGAGCTCGCCACGGAAGGGACGCGGCTGCGCAAGGTGCCTGGTCAGGACAGAAATGCCGCGGCATCCCTGGCAAAGGCATCGGTGTCCGCGCGACGGGCATCCCAGTGAGCTCCCACCACCGGTCCCACCAGAGCAACCCTCCTGCCACCGTCATTTAGGTGACAACGGTGGATAATTACAAAGCGCTGCAAGCTCTGCTGGCCTGACGAGAACAGGTTTGCCACGTCCAATTCCCGTTCCCATCTCACCATACCTATATTGGCTTTATAGCCCATCTCTTACTCCTCTCTTAGCCCAACCGAAATGAAAGCTCTGTCTCTGAAGTCGCCTCTGATCTCCAGATCACACGTGGTCCCTTCGGCACCGCAGATCCTTGATTAGGGGGAGGGCACGGGCCGCCGTGCGGATATGGAAAAGATATGGAAAAGCCTGATTTAAACACTGCCTGCCTTCTCTTTCCTTCTGCGCCTTCTGAAAACTCAGCTGCCCTTATATGTCTTCTGTTCTGAATCATGTAGAGAGACGCTTTCTGTTTTAGAACAGTCCCTCTTAGGAGCCTTGCCTCTCCACGCTGCCCTGCCCTTAACTACTTTGCTAAAATGCCAGGACTGACAAAATACAGTCTGCACCATAACTCCTGTCCACAGGAAAAAATAATCAAAGGCTATTTTTAGGCCCCCAGAGACAGAAACAACAGACTTGTACTGCTGAAAAACAGTTCCAGCTTTCCCCTGGGATCTACCCTGTGTACGTGGACATGAAATGCCTGCTAGGAATCAGAGTTTAAATCAGGGACTTTCATAGGTACCAAAATGCTGTTTTCAGCTGTTTTGAAAACTTTAATAGCTCCTTCTGAATCTGGTGAGACATGCAAAAGTGGAAATAAATTTTTCCACAGGAGAGTAATGGAAAAATTATTTTATACTTCAAAAAAAGAAGAAAAAAAAACAAAAAAAAAAAAAAAAAAAGAGAAAGACTGCTTAATAAAACATTCCCAACATTAATAAAACATTCTTATTTTTCTCTTGCACCTCTGTGTGCCATTGCAGGTCCTGAGCACAGGCCAGTGCCTAGGAGACCTGGATCACTTGGAGGGATCCCAGCGAACCACCCCATGAAGATGCACAAAAGTCCCTGGTGATGAAGGGCCGCAGGACACAAGATGGTCCACCCCAGCGAAGGCAGGGTGGTACAAAGCCATGACAGCAGTCCTGTCAGAGCTCTATCAGAGCTTGGAGAAAAAGTACAGAGAGAAAAGAGTGCTGAAGGTGGCGAGGGACGAGACAAAAGGAGCCGATGAGCGCTGCTCCGTGGTTCTCTGAGCTCGTCTGACTGTATTTCTCCACCAGCACGTGCCCTTCCCTCTCCCTCATTCCTACACCCCCGTTTTTGCTGCGAAGTGCTGAACCTGCCTCAGCCAGGTGCTTGTGGTGGGACTCCTCCACCTCCTCTCCTGAAAGCGAGCACATCAAATGCATATCGGACGGCCACTTCCTAAAGCAAGGCTCTACAAAAACACAGACGAAACTGGGAAAAAGGTATTGTTCCAGGAAGGAAAATGCAGTTTAAAGAGAAAGGTTTTAAAGCACACTGGGCACTGCCTGCCTGCAGGAAGGAGCTTTATTCTGAACATTCTTTCCAGCTCACCTGGCCTGTGGCTTCTCAGCTTCTTTCAAATAATACACAGCTCTGTCTGGATCAGTAAAAGAAAAATTTACTTTGTCCCTTCCTCCGGGACAGTGGCTCTGCTCCCTGCTGTGAATGTGCTTTGATCAAAGCAGTTCCCAGTTGGTACAGATGCTGCAGGCTCCCTCGAAGCTTTCCTCTCTCTCCCTGCCCCTCCAGCCACCCTGGGCAAGCACAACCTGGGATCCTCTCTGACTGTGAGAACCGTGAGGCCGAGACCATGGGGTCGCAGCCCTCAAACAAAATACCTGCTATCCGAAGGGAAAAGGCTGCTATGTACCAGCCTACAGCACTATCAACAGTTCTGTTTCCAACCCCATGGTCCAGATGGGTCCAGAAGATGAGTTTTCCCTTTGGTTGTTGTCCATGTAGACCTATTTCTGGACATGTTGTGCTGGCAGCCTGGTCCAGACTCCATCCTTTCCAGACTATCATCAGAGCAACAGGACTGGACTATAAAATCACACTGTCTTAGCCTTAGAAATCACCCACTACCTGGCTGGGGCAAGGGCTGTAACTTCTCATCTCCGGCCCTGAGCCAGGAGCAAGACTTGCCATCAGAACAGCGAGTGGTCTTGGGCAAACAATGCCGGTGAAGGCAACACACGATGGAAGAGACAAAAAATGAGAGAGGAGGCAGCAAATCCAGCTTCATGTGTGGAGGCTGACCCAACCCTGCACTTGAAACAGGGATGGGATACAAATAAACTGAGGAGTTGTTCCCCAGATATCCACAACAATCTTCTGGGTTAAGAAAGTCCTTCACTAAGCTTGTCACAGGAGGAATAAACAGATAAATTTAGCGTGTGCATGAGGTGGACCTGAAGAAGGGGGGCAGAGGTGTACAAGTGCACCTGGGGACTCGCGAAGACTCGCTTCCCATGCAGCTGCATCACGGGGGTGCAGGAGGGCACCAGCCCCGAGCTCCAGCTGTGGGAGCCTGCCAGCTGCAAGAAACAGCATCTCAGGCCAAGAGGCAGGGGAAATTCAGGAATTTGTACACTCAAAGCAAACTATGACTCATATGAGGAAGAAACCAGGAAAGAATACACTCTGCTTCTCATGGTCACATGTAGCTTCTGGAGGCATTTGAGAGGAAGGAGAGTGAATGGCATGGGATAGGCAATTTTGTGGGGGAAAAAAAAAATAATTAAAAATAGATGCATGCCAAAAAGGTCCCGTGCAACTGTGAGCAAGTAATTCACCCTCTCTCTAACTCAGTTTTCTTTCTGAAAAGTAGAGATAACAGTACTGCTGCCAAGATAAGGACCACAGACTACGAGGTCTGCAGGCATGCTGATAACATAGGTTGTATCAGTACCCCAGATGGAAAGATACCTTAAAATACCCTGACTCATCTTCTCCTGTGGCATTTCGCAACCCAACCAGTATCTGTCACATTGTAAGCCAGCTAATATATTATTATGGCTTACTGTATTTATTAACGTTTCTGTTACTGGAAACAGAGAAGGAGAGAGGAGGGACAAGGCCACCTATAAAAACAAATAATTTCATGGGCAATGCCATAAATAAGAAGCCTGGCTGCAGCTTTCACATATCACATTTGACTGACAGTGCCCGAGACAGTGAGCTCCCACAAAGTATTTCTCTGTCCCCACCACAACGATTACGGCAACGGGTCCCCCTTAACTCAGATGCTGAGTCTCCACTGTCTCACTGAAAGGACAGCACTGAAACTTTGCTCAGGGAGGACTTTTGGTGGGGTTTTCCCTTTTTACACCCACCTATTTATTTTCACAAGCTTGCAGGTACTTAATTATCTCTGATGCGTCTATTCTGGTGTCAAATTTGGCTTAAATTAGCTACAAGGTCAAAAAATATCAGGGGGTGTTGGGGATTTTGACACACCAACTGACAGGCATTGGCAACCTGATCATGTATGACTTGTTTTCATTAGCAATAAAGCTAGAAAAAGCCACAAAAGAATCTCAGGTCAATTCAATGGCCACAGAGAGGGGAAGAGTTATAGAATTGAGGATAAAATAATAATTCAAAGTTTTTCTTCCCTTACTATGACCCAAGATGTATGGAGGCCCCAGGATGAGGCAGCTGACCCTGCTGTGGAGGAGGGCATATCAAGTCTGCGCAAACAAGGGTATAGAAACTTAGAATCATAGAATCATTTAGTTTGGAAAAGACCTTTAAGACCATTGAGTCCAACCATTAACCCAGCACTGCCAAACCCACCACTAAACCACATCCCTAAGCACCACATCTACACATCTTTTAAACACCTCCAGGGGTGGTGACTCAACCAGTTGCTTGGGCAGCCTGTTCCAATGCTTGACAACCCTTTCAGTGAAGAAATTTTTCCTAATATCCAATCTAAACCTCCCCTGGCACAACTTGAGGCTATTTCCTCTTCTTCTATCACTTATTAGTAGAAGCAAGGATGCTTGAGCAAGGGTGCAGAAGCAAAGATGACTGAGCAAAGGTGGCTGAACAAGGGTGCACAAGCTAAAGTGCATGAGCAAGGGTGCAAGAGCAAATGTGCACGACCAAGGGCGTGCTAGCAAAGGTGCTGCCCGTGGGG